GATCCCTGTGTTCCAACAAGCACAGGCTCCAAAGCAAACCCTGCCCATGGGGACACGGCGTCCATGCCATGCTGGCTCCCTCCAGCTGAGCCTGGGCCTGCAGCAGCCTGGCTTGCTCACCCAGCAAAGATTTCCCCAAAGGATTGGTGGGGCCTGAGCACAGCAGACCTTGCAAAAGCCAGAGGGCCCATCCTGATGCCTCTGGGACTCTGAAGCCTTGCTGAAAGGAGAGGCACGGGGCATACAAATCTTCAGGGGGTTGATTGTCAGGAGAGAAATTCCTTTTTAGGAAAGATGAGTTTCAAAACAGCACTGCTCTGCTCTCAAAATTAAATGTACATAGATATCTACACACACATACATATTGATAGAATAATGACCGTTTTGCTGTGTGATTATAAACCCAAACAAGATAATACCGATTCCCAAACAATTCTGCCCAACCTGGGCAAGGGGATCTGACAATTCCTGCCACCTGCTGTCCCAGGGGAGCCCACCTGGGCACCATGGCAGGAGCGGGACAGGCATTGCTGGCCCTGCCTGTGCCACCCGCCTCTTCTCGCCCCACCACTTGGCAGCAGATGCTGAGACAAGAGAAACTCTCAGGGTGACACCACTGTAGGTTTTTCCTCTTGCAAAGCAGCTTGCCAGGCTCTGGGGGGGGGCTGTGCAGGGCTGGGTCATCCTGTTTGCTCTGTGGAAAGGCTGGGTGTCCCATCTGCCCAAAGACCTGTCTGGCCACACAGTCATCTCCCCTCATCCCAGACCTTCCAGCTGGGAGGAACGAGGCAACAGCCATGGGTGAAAGCCCTTGGCTTCACAGCAGAGGTTTTGATCAAGGTCCTTTTTTGTGTTCTCAGGATTTTTTTTTAAAAAATACAATCCACATCCCCCTGGAGATTTTGAGATCTCTGTGTGCCCTTTGCCTTCTTCTGGGATGGGGGGGTTTGGCTGCAGTCAGAGCCACAGCCCCACAGTGCCCCCACAGCTCTGCCTTGTTCTGTACGATTGCCTTGTCCCTAGAGCCCCCCATCAGCACTGGACCTGAGCCTCAGGGCTCTCCCCAGTGTTTGACCCTTTTTTCAGCCACTCTCTTTTTGCCAGGCTGCATCCAGAGAATCCACAAACCTGCTAAGAGGCTCTCCTCATAAAGGCCATGTCCTCATATACCCCATAAACGTTGCTGCTTAAAAGGCTGCAGAGGAAAAAAGAGTCTAGGCTAAACGAGGTGGGACGTTGTAGAAGCAGGAGAGGTTTTCAGGAGCCTCAAGGCTCCAGGAATACAAACCCTCTCACGTCCCTTCCAACGCAGGGGTTACAGTGTTTATAATGATTTCCACCCAATGCCCGTCCCGTCCCCGCCCCGGTTCTGCCCCGTTCTGCCCCAGGAACGCCCGTGGGGAATTGAGTCTGGGGGAGTTCGGAGCTTTGAGCGGCTGCAACTACAACTCCCGGCGTGCCCCGCGCGGCAAAGGGGGCGGGGCGGGGTCTCTGCCGGCGGGGCGCGCGCAC